CAGTCACGAAAGACAATACTTAATTCGAAAAATGGAGGAAATTTCATAAGCAGAAGACCTGAAGAAGGCAGGACCAACGGAATCTTTGCATATTGCTTAAGCAAACTCGGAGAAGATTAGGGAATTGCGGTATCAGCAAAAAGAAGACGATTGTACAAGTGTATTACTTTTAAGAAGTGGGTTCACCTCGTTGTGGGAAAATTCTACTTCTACCAGTCCTTCATCACCTTAAACGAAATTGGGTGAATACATCTTATAACTGATTTACTGGTAGTCATAAAAAAGTTAAGATAAGTTTAGAAACTCAGTCCAGTCCAGATGGGGCACAGGACTATGTGGGAAACATTGGAAACGGGGCAAATGTGATGACTTCAACGCTTATTCAGGAAGTACTGATAGTCTTGAAAACCTACCCTATCTCCAAATGGTCTGGTATTAGTTTCATCCCTGATGGTTGCAAGTTGATGTATCAACGGATGCCGGTTACTCGACGTCTCCAACCGTCATTTAGCCACAAAAACTGGTTCAAGAGTAAGATTTTAAAGTAGGAAATGTAACTATGCGTATGCAATTAGAGAGTCATTGAATTGTTCCAGTGGGAATGGTTGGTGCTGTATCAAGCACAAGGCAAAAGTATTAATTCTTCTTAATATTCTCTTGAAAGATGGCCCCGACAGCCAACAAATGTACCGCTCACCACAAAAAGGTGCATAGGGAGACATCCAAGTCGATTATTTTCTATTTCATAATCCAATTTGTCCTCTAATTTGATAGTAGACTTCTTCTTCTTCTCTGTAGAAGTGGTTTGTAGAAGTGATTTTTGGAGCTTGCTTGTGTTGTCAGGGCGACCTAGACTCGGTACATTCCCAGACGTTTTGTCGGCATCATCATTCTCAGCACCACACGACAACTTGTCAAAGAGACATGTGAATCTGATCATATGACCAACTGTGTGCTAAACAGTTGTGGTATCTCCCCCTGCCCCTTAACCCATTCACCAACCCTTCACGATCACAATTTCTTACATGCTTAGTTAACTGTAGCATGTTGTGCCCTTTTGAACGGATATTATGAAAATTCATCACACCCCACGCTGGCGTTCTCACCCCCCTTCACCCTTGGCTGGGAATGTTGATCAGAGTCTGCCCTATTGTTACGCAGTCCTCCTTCATCAGGTCTTATCACAGTCTCCCTTTTGCCTCGTTGGATCCGTCTGCTCTCTCCCTGGATCCAGTATTTCACTCGACCCCTGCCACCCCATTTCTACTCCACAAGGTGTCATTTCCCAAACTCTGCCTCTGAGAGACTAACTTGTGCCAACCCACGAACGTTGTGGTCCAACCTTAAACGCAATCAAAGCAAGCAGTACCACAACATTTGTGGGTTAGTACACAAGAGACTAAGGCATGACAAGGCATAGACTTGGTATTACGGATAAAAACAGGAAAGACGCGGCGGAAACTGGAGCTGGTGGACT